ATCGCATAGCAGTATCAGAAAGTGCACATCAATGAAAAACAACGTCACAAGTTTCTCAAAGTTGTTAACACCTTTACCCTTGTACTCTCTCAAAAGAGTGCAAGAAATATATTACTCCAGAGGTTGATTGCAACTTGCCTCTGCTCGCGAATAAGCGCCAAAAGCATTCGGTTGGCAAATCCCCATATGAAATAGGAGCAGAATAATGCAAAAGGCAGTCTTAGCAAGCGATAGACCCCCTGCAAATGCGCACTGATGCCTGTCATGAGCAGTGGCGGCTGCCGAGCGTCGCTCTGGAAAAGATGCGGGCGAACCTGGTCCTCGCAAGCGGGCGCCACTGCCGCCAGACTCGAATATATGTTCGGGAATTGAGGCCGAAGCTGCCCGACTCGGCTACACAGGTTATATTCGGAGCTGTAGCGGCCCGACTCGGATACGCAGGTTATATTCGGAGCTGTAGCAGCCCCACTCGGCTACACAGGTTATATTCGAAGATGTAGCAGCCCGACTCGTACATACAGGTCATATTCGGTGCCGGATGCCGGAGTATATTTCACATACGAGACCATAATAACCGAGGCCTGGGTTCATTGCAGCTCAACTCGCTTGCATGGATTAAAATCGGACGGAAAGGCGGCCGAAATCGGATATGGGTCTTAGAATCAGGTGCCTTTTCAGACCACTCGGTTATGCGGCTTAGAATCAGAGGCCATAGAACAGCTCAAATTTGCAGCGCGGAAAGGTAAGAAGTGGGCGCCCTGCTCTCGAGGCTTTATAAATAAATTGGAAGGAGCACGGGTCCCAACCCCTCTCGGGGTTTTAAATATGTCTCAGTTGCCGCTATTCTGTGCACAGTATTATTCTAGCGACAGTTCGAAATAATAGTAACAAAAACTCGACACATTTAACAGCGAGATGCTTGGCTAGCCACCCCCTCGCTAAATCATGATACATTATAACGAATCAATGCTCCTAATTCTATACAATAATAAAGCTCCGCAGCCACTGAATTCGTAAAATATACGAGAAAAATTTGTTAGAGAAAAAATGTTTTGGAAGCATCAACATATTATAAACGGTAATTATTGTTTTGCTATTCTTGATGCCGGAGCACAAGACGACAGAACCTTGCAAGACGCGGTACATCGCCGTCGAAACGCTCATTATCGCCTATAGGCGGTCCGTGTATCGCGGGTGCCACGGTCAGAATATAGACAGTGAAACAGGCAATACTTTGTTGTGCGACAGACATCGATCAATTAATGTGATTTTCGAACGTAGATTCATAGACTATGTGCTTCTGTTCATAATAATAAAAAATAAGATATGCCTGAAATCATAGGAAAAAAATGCGTGTAACGCTTGAACGAGCTGAGCCACACGCAGAATTGAACCAGAGAAAATTCATTGTCATATAAGAGGTCAATAATAAATTTTAACAATTATATACAAGGAATAATAATAATGGCTGATCGTGAAAAGGTAGAAAATGAATAACAATGATTGCAAAATGTACATCAGAATCATTGCAGTGCAAGTCTCAAGCTCAGAATATAGATACTGCGTTTACGATAAATATAAGCAGACTTTTTGATCAAAGACAAGCGGGAATTTGCATGTGAAATATTAGAATTCGATTCGAGGACTTGCAAATTGATGTTAGCGGGAAACGGAGCGTCAGGTGAGCCGACGCTCCAGCTGTTGTAGACAACAAAGAGTGAGTTTAATTCATGAATATTGATGTTCATGATACCGGCTATTGCTCGCATGTCGTAGTGGCCTCACTAAATTCAATTTATCGAGGATTAAAGACAAGGAAAAACATCAATCATGATACATGACAACTATCCTTTTCAGTCCATAGCACTTTAAAGAAATATTTTGCTGAATAAAATGGAAAACATATGGTGATGTTAGTGATTGAGTTGCACATAAAGCTTATAGGGTCGAAGAATAATTAGAATAAACTCGCATAAAATGACGATCGGCGCATTTTCATATCCCGCAGTCCCAGCAAATAATATTTTTCGTTCATACGAAGGCAGAACTGTAATGCAACTGAGCGAGTTTTCCAAGTTCCCCCTTCTGAATATGAAAATCTCTGATGAAATGACGAAATTCGGAATCTTCAGCTCATCAACTCGTTGATGACCAATACTAGGAAGATTCAGTGCTTCTCGGCTCGCAAGAATCATAACATTAGACTGGATATTTCGTGTACATATGAGAATGCCACAGGACGTTAGGGTCGTTCATTAACATTTCAACGAATATTTCATCGAATTCAAATATCAATAATTTCAATACAATCGAAATACTTTTTTTTATTTGAACTCTTCTATGAAGGCCAGCCTCGCTAATTTATCACAAACCTGTTTAGCTTGTGCAAGTCTTTTATTCTCCGCTCATGAGATTCTAAGGAACTTATATTTAACTTGTACTAATATTTCATACGCTTAGTGAAACCATAATAAACAGCTTGGTTGTTCTATTAGATCTCTGAATCGTCCGTACTACCATTAGTGAAGTGTTAGTATATTCCCATTGATCTAGAACCAGTGTCGTGAGGGACTAAGCCCAACAAAGAGCCTACCAACAGCTTCCTGGAGCAGAGCAACAGATGATCTCTCCTGCCATGCAACATTGACTTGTTTTTATCCTGAACTCGAGGCCTTATAAACAGAGGTCTTTGAATCAAGCCCTGCAGTTTGAAACAGTTTGAATCAAGCCCTGCAGAGAAGATATATAGAGCACAGACTATCGTTGGAATTGTGGTTCAATACGTTCCATACAAGGGAGTCTAATCCTGTAACTAACCTGTGTCATCAAATTCTTTTCTATGCCATACGTTTATATTTTGTTCTCTGGCCAACGCCAGTATTTAAATATTAAAGTTATAAATTTATCTTGTAAATTTATTTATAATCCGTGAATAAGTCTACAGCCATGTATTTCATGTCGATTTTGTTACAGTTTGAATGAAGAAAAGCAGGCATATGTCTAGAAAACGTAAAGTTACATAATGAAAACGCCTGTCACTAGCTGATGAAAACGGTTACTTTGAAGTTTGATTAACTTCAAATTTTTTGATCGGAATACATCTCGTAACTTCAAAATTCATAAATTTAAATCGTAGGTACTGGAGAATATTTTTTGAAAATATTTTAAGACACTTAACCAAACAAATTACTTTTCTTATATTCCAGTGTTCAACGTTAGGTTGATCAACAAGCGTCAGAAGATTATTAAAAAAATTCTACAAACGAAGATTTCTTTTAAAATGCTAAAAAAATATAATAGAGTTAAAACTTCAAATAGTACTACGATAATCATGTATGTAACGCATCACCTTTTTTTCTTCACCTACAACATCACGAAGTAATTTTCAGAAACAAGGCACTAATGTGAAGGGATACGTGTGCTTCTCTTTTCCCTGCAGAACAATTTTATGGTCTGGCAACACGAAAATTAACCTGCAGACACTAAAGCAGTTGGTCCATCTACTAGAATATTTTTGTTCGACTGTCTCCCTTGAAAATCTCCCATGAGTATAGATTAATATATGCCTTGCACATTACACTACTGCATCATTAAAAATTATGAGAATGTAAGACTAAATTGTCTAGAAGATTACATGTTTAAAAGTTATCAAGAGGAATATAAATTGCCCGAAATGGAATTTCCGAATAATTCATCAAATATTTCCTCCAAGTTTGTATATATAATATAAATAAGCAAGAAATAGTAATAATATATGCAAAAAAATCGAAACGGAATTTATTCGAGTAAAATAAAAGCATTCACAGGCAACTTTTGCGAATAAAAATTTAATTTATTATTGTTTTTTATTATCGGTGAATTTCGCATGATTCAATGTTCTATTCGTCTCACTATTGGAACGCAGAATCGAGTTTTTATGTTGATGAAATATCGCTATTTTTGCAACTGTTTCATTTAGCACGAAAATTTCTCCGACAAAAATAGGCGTCAATTATTTTATTTATAACTTTGGATATAAAGTGCATCCATTAAAGTGAAATAAAATCATAATAAAAAACCGATTCAAATCATTTATTCCTTACCTCTGTCCTTCCATGATATTTCAGACCGCAACATATCGACCATCAAACATTGCAAACAAATGCAAACATTGCATCAAACATCAATAAAACTAATAATTTGTTACTCACCTTGAGTTGCAAGGAAAAATTTTAGTTGCACAACATGAGATTCAATTCTGAGGCATTTTTAACAATAGTTATCAGACAAATTTATTACGAAAAACTTGTAGCATGTAGTACACGTAGTTAGTGGTGTAGTAGTTACAAAGTAGTTCAAAGTTCAAGTAGTGCCGTACTGTAAACCCAATGGTCTTCATACAATTAGGTACGTGATTGTTTTAATCGAAACTGGTTATGAATGAGGATCATAACCCTGGCATAGTGATTGGAAACGAGGATTATTAAAGATTAGCCCAATAGGGTCGAAATCTCAAAATACTCATCACGATCGCAGGTGGAAATATGTTCATTCACTTTATTATCACTTCTATTTCCAAATTTAATAATATAAGTCATAAAATTAGTACAATGAGATTAAAGTAACAATGAATCAAATTATGACCCTCATGCACAATATGGAGCGTGAAGGAAAATGAAAAATAGAAGCAAACATGAATCTCCTCGAATGGTTTTACTCTACTGTACCTTCATGAAGTAACCAAGTATTTGTATAGATAATAATATCGTGGAATAAAGTTTTCATAGTAACCTGTTATCGAAGATTTGAATCATTAAGATGACAATATTAAAAATAACTTTTTCTTTCGTAGCGATCGAAAAGTGCCTTACTTCCAGCGAACCAAGCGATAACGCATCTGGTCCGGTTTATGCTTTAAATATTCCCGATTTTTATCATCATTTCCTTACCTTGAAGTAGTATTAACCAATAATGTACAACAGAGAACCCAGATTTTGCTGTTGGTGATAATGAGCTCCCACCTTTACTGGCACCGTCGGGTCCCCTGAGAATGGTGCACTCTTCTATGCTTCCGTATGGGCTGAAAAGCTGCCGTACATCTTCTTCAGTTTGTTGCTTGCTTAGCATGCCAACGAACAGCTTCCGGTCTTCTGCAAACAACAAACACCAAACATGCTAGAAGCTCACACGGACAGTTGGAAGCAGCTTTAGTACGTGTACGCCTGCCTATCATGTTTGTCGTGTACAATACAGCATATACGAGTCTGGCAGCCACCACAGAGCGGGATAATCGTCACACCACGATTATTTAATATGAAGATTTATTTAATTCAGATCCAAATTATAATAAAAAGTAATAACTCCACGCATGTGAGGCGATGATTTCACTCTATAGTGGACATGAGACGGGCATCGGAATAAGGCATTTGTGTGTGAGTGTGTGTGTTTTTCAATGAAATCTTAATGGAGAGAATTATAAGAAATTAATAAATAGCTTCAACTGCTGGCTGACCATATAGATAAATGGGGAAACTAATAATAAAATGGGTATAATTTACTCATGTGACAGAAAGAAGACAGTATAAATGCTTCACACAACAGCTACGTAACTATTCTCATAATTTGGGAAGTTCTCAATGTACGGTGATATTAATATATTTTTTTACATTATTTTTGTTAGTTTCTCAACGAGAAAGTTCCTTATGACTGGCTGATTAATGAAAACGTTCCGTTCATATCTTGCATCCGGAAATATTTTATATATACAAAGGTTACTGCTTAAAAATAATGATGTACAATATGATCGTTCATTCGTGATTGATTAGAGAAGAAGGGAATATGTAAACTTCATATAATAATTAATATGAATCGCATCAAATCTAAGGTTAAGGTGATTGTTCTAAATAAATCACAAACTCATTAATATTATTGAAGTGTCGTAACTGAAATTATGTACATATGTGTCGAGCGTGATATGCGTAGGTGTAATTTATCATTAATTACAATTGCTTATATCAAGAATATGAGCACCGCTTGTTTACAATTCAAGTGGAAAGTTCCCTCTTAAAACGAGACATGGCGCAAAATTTGGGGCTGAAATTGTCCTCAAGACTTTTTTTAATGTTTCATTGAGAAAAAGAGTCACGAGTGTTCGACCGAGACATGCCCAATACTCTTACCCATTACTATGTTAAATACCTATTATATTATAGGCGAGTCGGGGTAACCATGTTTTTTGAGAAAGTAATTTATGCTGGTCGATCAATAAGGCAACATATTTGGGAAAACGCAAACGTTTGGCAAGGAACCTGGACTTCGTTTACGTCAAAGTTGATTTATGCTAGGAACATTGTTCCGGATCTCCGAAATGTTTATAAAAAATTTAATCTCAAATTGATTCCGGCAAATAAGGGCTTTTTTGCCTCTACTAAACCCAATCTGAATATTGATTTATAAACCTATATGCAACAAGTGTATTGTAAAAAAATCGTATCCAGCGACTAATTTCCGGCTTTTCTCCGTAAGTCATTTGTAAAGCTTCCATCTCTTTGAAGAAGTTTTCGGACGCTCAACTTTCACTGAAGTTGATCAAAGTTGGGGCTCTTGAAGAAAGCAATGTCTTAAGAAAACAGGGCAGGGTTGTCCGGGCTACCAACTTCAGTTAATTTCACTGAACTTGTTCAAGTTGGCGTTTTGCGTATGATGTCATCACTTGGCCGCAAGAAACCGTGCCACGTGGGAAAAAAATTACACAAGAGAATAGGGAAATTATGATAACTCAGCCATCGTGATGTCTAAGAAGAAATTATAGTTCTTCGGGCTAAGTAATAGTAGTAGTAGTAGTAGTAGGACACCATATTAAAAATGCATTGAATTGTCATATTTTTTTAGCAGAATAATTGAGCAACTTTGATTAAGGAGCTTGGCTTCATTCGTATGATTAGAGGGATATATTCGCAACGATATCTGACGGAAAAAGTTAGCTGAAAAATATCTTGTTCATTTATTGGATCTGAACAATGCATATAAATGAAAAGTAAACTGACTCTATGACATCACTGGAAATGAATGGTTCGCTTGAGATTCAATTCTGATGTTCTACGGGAATTTCAAGGGTTGATTAATTTTAACTTTGTTCTCTGTTTTTAAAGGGCATGCTTGATCTAGGACGGGGTGGGATGTTTGATGATTGTTTCCATTCGACTAGAATGAAGCCAACCAAAAACGAAGCTCTATGGACAGCTACCGACAAACGGAATCGCAAATGATTGATACAGTCAGGGATTGTGGTAATAAAAACAGTTCATTTAAAAAATGTTCTCCTGAACTCGAGGAAAGACAGCAAATGAATTATCAGGCCAATTTTATTAGTGTGCATGTTTAAACTATGTAGTATATCGTGAATCTTCAGGTGAATAATTTTTCTACACACCTAACTTCATGATTATCAATCTCCTTCATTACCAACACGAGAAGCTAACAAATTTTTGTTTTCAACCCCATGCTATGCAGACGAGTTTTCTGAGAAATTAAATAGAATTTTATTTAGGGCCAGAGTTATAATTAAATAGTACGGAACAGATGAACATTAATTCCAAAGCATAGTTTCAAGTGCGTTTTCCCTTCAAGCGAACTCATATTAGTAAGATAGTAATAAATTAATTTTAAAACATGAGGATCATAGGCAAAATTTAGCATGGAGCATTATTATTGGTCGCATTTTTTGACAGCCAATATCTGTGCGAGACGATATTGTCAAAATCGTGACTACTAACACTATTAGTATTAGAAGTATATAAACAACTATTTGGTCCGTGAGCATTTTTACAACATATAAAATCAGTTGAAGAAGAATGAATGTGTTAAACTTGTTCTTCATGTAGTTTTGTGATATGTGGAGAATTTTAGAGCCACGTAATCACGAACAACATCGAGCACAAACTAACTAATACATTCGATACTCTTATACAGGGCACAACTACTTACGACACAAACCATTCACTACATCACAGCGAAGGAGTTTAAAGGGTACATTCTAGAGTGAAATTTCCAGAGAGAAAGAGTGAGAGTTTCCTCTCGCACGCCACCTGACACGGCACATAGCATGGCTTTTCGAGAAGCTACTATAAGAGCTAAAGATCGGTGAAGAACGCAGTGAAAAGCACCAAGTTGAAGTAAACATCGAACCACGAAAAAGACACGTAGATACATCCGCTAAAATACACTTAATAATAATATCACAACTAAAGAATTCTTTCACCGGGAATAGAGGGAATTTAGATGATCAAAGGGCAAAATAAAGTACACAGTATGAAAGATGAAATGCAGGCGTCGAAAAAGAATGAACATTTTGATGAAGCAAAACAATCAATTAGGTTTTTTTTAAAGGAACTAATACATTGAAGCAAGGACAACTTTAAGCTCCTTGTCAGCCAACGATGCTTCGAATCCCAAAAAAATTGAAAAAAATAAATGATGAAAAGATGAATCAATCCACAGGAGTTTTTTACGAACTTACTGTAGGCATTACACGAAGATTCAGAGACAGAATCGGCATTACATGATCATAGAGATAAGGCACTCAGGATGGGCATTTGATTATGCGAAGAAAGAAATTTTGCTTTCTGGACATGTTTTATTAGTTCATTGTGATGAGGCTGTAGGAAACTATTGAACGGCCGAGATTCAACATGAACCGAACATTTGAGGTTGATTATGCAGAAAATATTTGTATAAGATACAGAATGGTGAGTAATTTTAGTAACGGATGGGTATCATATGGCAATTATTCTTCCACACAAATTTTTAACTAGCATTTTTTTATCCATTATTAAACGAATATTTTTCACTTTAATTTACATCTCGTGGTCATGAGCAATAAGGGAATGACAAAACTATAACATGGAAATGATTAGAATACAACTTCAACCAACCAACTCCTTTCCGAGAAGATGAGTAAAACATAAGAGAGAGTTCAGCTTCTCAAAGAACTCAACAAAGGAAACGACATTGACAATACCGAGACAAAGTCTACCAACATGAGTACGTCCGAGCAACATCTTTGATCAACATTTTGAGCAGATATTCTGCTGGAAAACCACAGTAACAACGTGGCAAGATTTGCAGAGCACAGTAGTTGATAGTGAAGAGAGAGAATAACAACCAACAGTAATGCCACTCAAGACAAGTCGATAAATCTTTACCTGCTTCATAGGCCGAGTGCTGCGCCAGGGATCAGTCCTCTACACCAATGATTCCTCCTTCTAATTTATTCAAGAGTTTTAGGATTTGCGTAACGTCTTTTGACTCGTTCGAATTAATTTTAAAGTTTGCGGTGTGGACGTTAGTTTTTGGGATGATGATTTGGATGAATGAGTCAAGTTCAATACAGCATCCTCTACTATTCAGATGAATGAGGTGAGAAAGTTAGGGGTGTATGCATGAAATTCGACCTTTACAAACGTGATTTTAGGGGATATCAGGGTATCTTATTTATTCTGGTTTAGTTAGCATCTGCAAAAAAGTTTATTATGGAATCAAAATACGATAATAATAATAAATAATGTCACTACTACATCTACAAATTAATATTATGGTCAGGATTATTCACAATTTTTGGGTCACTTGACTAGTGCAGTTCTAAAAATAAATAGGGAAGGCAAGTAGGTCTAGGTGATTCAAACTAACTACTGAATGTCTAAAAGTCGATAATTGCCTCTGAAAACACAAAATGATTTCAAAACTGAATGCTTGTGTTAACAACACTATGAAATCAAACATTAAAGGAAGCATATGTTTACAATATATACAGTATACATAGCGAATAGTCTTTAAACCTTTTAATCGTTCCAGTAATTTTATAAAAAAAGTTGCCTAGCTTTATTGAGATCCAATATTTTAAGTGAAGCGATTTTATGCACTCATACCTAAAACACGAACGATTTTTTAAATAACCGAGTGCACTGGACAGCAAAGTGATCTCGATGCCTCTCAGAAAGCCAGGTCTGGCGGCCATGCTCATGACCGAAGGAACAGTGGAGCTCTGATGCCATAAGTCAATTTATTTACAAAAGCAAAATTAACTTTTCTGTATTACTTTTCAACATTGAGGCACTGAAGAATATTAGAAGAATGAGCAGGAAAAAAAACG